GTGTCCTGTTTTTTTTTTTTAGAGACTCCGGCCAGCTGAACATCTCAGTGATACAGTTTTACTACTCTTGCGCCTTAAGTCTTATTCTGTTAAGAAGTGTGAGGCAAATTTGTAAATATCAGAGAAAGAATACAGAAATAAATTTGTTTCGGGCTCCGCATGTGTAATCCTGGGAAATAACTGAATGTAATTGTGAAACGGGCAAGGGCTTCCACAGCCTTGAAAAGTAATTGTCGGCTTGGAGCGCTAAAAATGAATTCTGACCTTACAGTCGTATCGTAACATCACTTTTCCGCAGCACGTCATTCACTACGGGGTAGGTGTCCCATGCTCAACTCTGGAAGCTTTTTGTTCACTTCTCAGACGTTGCAAATCCTTTAGCAGCTTTTAAAGGCATTAGTGATCATTGTAGATCTATATCCCCTCCATATAGTTTTACAATGTGGAGCGGAGTAGCAAAAATAGTAGGGGCAATCGGAAGCCTAGTCCTTTGAATGACAATCCCAAAGTGGCTGTACATTAATTTCCTACAACTGAGAGTAGGATGGCAAATTGAGCAACGGGAACCAGCATATGATATGCTTTTTCTTTATGCTCTGCTAAGATGTAGAATCTTGAGTAAGAAAAATGAAAAATTTAGGTGGTCGCTAAGAGGGTACTGATATAAGCTGTTAAGTAATGAGTTTCTTCGTAAGAACGTTGGAAGATCAGATTATTAGCTGCAAAGCAAGCAGTTGTCTATCTTTGACGAATAGTACTAATTTTTCTTCATGAACATGCTTTCTGTTTCATGTTTTCTGATACGTGTTTTGACAATACTGAACTAAACAGCATTTACATTCGGCCTAGTTTGTGTGTAATGCATATTAGCTCTCAAGCTAAAATGACTAAGTTCTTTCACTACCCATTGATCATGTTTTACCACTTTCTATTGCTAAGAGAAAGGAAAAAAGGAAATGATAGTGCAATTTACTTCAATATAAATATAGTTTTAGCGATAAGAAACCAATATTGGGTTTGATATGTAACAAGCAATTCAAATAACATAAACTTTTTACCCTTTTACCAAACATAATAGAGGAAGCAAGAAATATTTATCAGTGTGGATCTTGTAGTACAAGTTTTTAATGGCTGCTATGATTTGTAAGATCACCACGAACACTGGCCATATCAGCAAAGATTTACAGAAACCTTAAGCGAAAACCACAAATGATAAGAAGAAATTTTTCAGCAGAGACTGGACAAAAGCCATCTACTTTTTTTGATTTCTCTCGGGCAATTTCGCAGACCTCTTGAATTCCAGAAGAATTTTTTAATTTTTTGCGCGAATCCTTTGTGATATCAGACCCTCTGATGTTTCCCTTTCTGGTTTTCGATAAGGTCTTCCATAAAGTGAGAGTTAGTTATGAGTATATTCTAGACACCAAAAACTCTAAATAAGGTTTAACTTTAAGAGTAAGCTGCGAGTCCTCCGAAGTGTTATTTGTATGCACTTTAGAAATTTCACTGTTGCCGAAAGGCTTTGCTGTTGACGCTGTAGGCATCCGAGGAGGGTATTTTGTGAGCCATATTTGGAAAATTTTTTCTCTTAAGCCCTTTCAACTTGCGGCCTCTTTAATTTATCATCTCAGATAGCATGAAACAATCCAAAGAAAGCAAAGATTAGCACATCCTTCATAGCCAAACTGTACAAAAAAGACAAGAAAATGAACAGAGAAAGTGAGTCGCAAAATTAGTTGAAAGACGGAGTATGCGCCTTAAACTAACTTTTGATCTTAAAAAAAAATTGTTTATTTCCTTGCATTCAAAGTGTACCTCATAACTAAAACTTAAAAATCAAATTTCCTTTCAGCGGCAGCAAGAGTACTTAATGCATTTAAAGTCAAGTTGCATCATTCTCTGACCTATTTTAAATGACTCCTACAAAAAGACTAAGAGGTCTTACTAAAGATATAAGAAATTTAATGCTTTTAGAAAAGGAAGGGGGGTACGCTAGGTAGTTGAAAAAACTGCTTGCTGTGTGAACTGTAAAAGCACTTTGGTTTTAGTTCAAGCGCTAGCGATTGCATTGAAGACGACTGCAATGCAGCCCGTCTCCTGCACTTCTCTTTACGCTCCTAACTGAACGTCTGTAACGGCTAATTGCAAAATTTTTCAGAAGTTTGGGAAAGGCAATCACAAACTCTTTTGTAATAATATTTATAGATCGTCAAAGCGACAAAATTTACTGCAGACAAGTAATTGGTCCTACCGCTTGCTGTGCCAACCAAAGCCCTAACTTCATTTGCCAATACCAGAAAAAAGACTGATGCTGACGACCGCAAAATTAAAAAAACTTTAATTTTCCGACAACTGAACAATTTTATCTGGAAAAATTTTCAATTAGAGCAGTCTTTGATAGCCAACTGTTAAGACTACGAGTGATGTGATATGACTCAAAATAGAATAAAACGATCAAGAAGAACCGAGTACTATATAATAAAATAGTGGTTAATTTCATAAATTTTATGAGAAAGCAGTAGCCTGTTAACAACAATCTTTTGAAAAATATATATTTTGGTTCAAACTATTGACTAAATATTGAATTTAGTTTGAAAAAAAATCCAAAGCTAGTAAAAGTAATTTACTATAACCGATAGTGTATCTACCTTTACAAATGTTAGCCACCGATTCTATTAAAGTGGTACGAAAATTATTTAACGAGTGCTGAAGCTACTGTAAAGCGTCACGATTGTAAGCGCCAAGAAGTCGTTTTAGATGCATTTATTTTTAGTTATTATGATCCAGATGCTGAGGTCCTGAGCTGGGAGAATAGTTGAGGTATTACTGCACTTCTGTTTGAAGCTCAGTCAGCGGTATAGGCGCGACGAATATTTACGGAAGAAAAAATACAGCAAAAGCATTGTTGTTTTATAGTGCTTTTTTTTTGTGAGCTGCGACTTCAGATGATACAATTTTTTATTCGAACTTATCGCACTAATTACATTTGACAAGCAACAGGCAACTTTTTAATTAGTAATTAACTGAATAACTACTTTCCACCATTTCACATTCGGTTTGATGCTTTGTAGATAGGACCCTCAACTTTTGATATAGAAGTTTCAAATACATTTGGCTGTAAATACCAGGTGGAACGGAATCATAGCATATTTGCAACAATACATCAAATTAGTCAGTTTTTGTAAGGTTGTCGGCAGGTTGGAACAGTCAAAAGAGCAAACTAAAGCTGTACAACATTTTGGGTGTCTTCTCGGAAGCATATCAACCGCTCGTTTCTTTTTTTTTTTCGCGATAACAGTTTTCTGAGAGGACGGGTACAAAGGCGGCATGATCAAGCAGAACCAGAGGTGCATCGGTGATGATTTTTTTAATTTATCGTTTTCATAATGGATTAATCAATGCTTTTTTTCATTTTCGGCGTTTCGACTTGTTGTTTCAGAACTGGACCTGATACAGTTCAGAATTGGTGTTATCGTTAGTCCCTGCTCGCCGAATTTAATTTTTATCTCCCTTTAACCCCTTAAAAATAAATCAGCGGAGAATTAAATAAGATAGTGTCTGAAGCCGGAACTAACCCCGCCATAATAAGCGTTTGTTACCTGTACGGCCCACACTATGAAACACGCTTTACGTAATCACTTTTCCGTCTAATAGTAGACAGTATTAATGCTTCGAAAATTTCGGCAAAAAAATATTATTTGACTGATAGCCTTCCTCTTAGAAGTAGTAGGATTTGTTTTTTTTAAAATTGCCGTCTTGGAAAATGCTGGCCGTTATTGTTTATTGCTTCGCTCGTTATGAACTCTGGCACCTATAGGAGTCGGCTTCGCGTTGAGAGATTTATTTTATTTGTAGCCAACATATGAAATTTTACAAGCAGTAAGAGTAATTCTTTCTCGGAATTTGTCCTTTTTTCACCCATTGCAAAATCACTTTCCTGCCTTGATAAGCAGGTATTAAATTAGCAAAGAAATCTAGTTCTACCAGCTTTCAATAGCTATCTGCCCAAACTTGGTTTCAACGTTTAACGAAAACAGTGCCGGCTCATTTTTCGGCGTCTTTGTTCAATGTCATGTAGAAAGTGTAGATCGCACTCATAGTTAAATACTGATACAACATTCAATCAGCGAAACAGGGTTTGGGAAAATGATAAAGGGAATTGATAAACCCATTAGAAAAGTCCACTGCAGACATCTACTGGAAGAATAGATGAATTTCAGTGTAAAAGACCGGAATGACTGTTACAAATTTTTCCTAAAAAATATCTTTAGCAAGAGGAACAGTTCAGCAAACACAGTTCAAAGCATTATGGTGACTGCCCAATAAAGGCTGCAAGCAACCTCGTTTGTACTACCATGATGATTAAAATATTAATGGTAAAATGTGCTCGGTAGCTTGCTTTAGTTTTATTTCATTAAATAAGAGATCATTACGGAGCTATGACAAATCTATAATGTCTGAATGTTAGACAATTGGATATAAATTTCCTTTTGAAAAGGTACAGGGGATGACAAAATACACTGGCATGCCATATCTTTTGGCATTCTTAATGAGTGTATTGTGTTAGCAGCTGTACCACAAATTTGAACTGCATTTCGAGTGTTTACGTGTTGTTAAACTCTTCTTCATCCGTCGTGAGCTTTCAAATAAGTGACAGCCAACTAAACTTATAAAAAAAATAAATAAATAAATAAACTGCTTTTTCAAAAGCTCTTCAGCTCAGATGATCTTGAGTTGGAAAAACTATTTAACAAACTTTGACCCAAACAGATGCTGCCCTGAAATTTCTTGCGGCAGAAATTTCCTTTTGGAGCAGTAATATCAAGTTTAAGACAACTGTTCAATATTTAAAATATACCCGTATAAATTAACAGAAAAAAAAAAAAAAAAAAAAAAAAAA